TTGCGACTTGTGACTTGAATTTGATTTTCAATTCTTTTAGTTTAAGAAATACTGAGTGAGTTCATCCCTTTTTATTTTCTGCCTCCAATTCTTTGCATATTTCATTATAACACTTTGCTTTGTCTTTTCGATTAGCTCTATAATCACATGGCATAAAGAAGCATAACAAAAACTTTATAACTTTATAAATACAACTTTATAATGGTACTCTTTGGAGAATATAATTCATGTTATTTACATAGAGTACAAGTCATAGTGGTTCTGTGAGCAACAGATCTAAACCCTGCTTTGTCTGGTGCGTCCTTATCATCCCTGACACATTGCTGCTGTCACTGGGTCAGTCTTTCTCGTTAAAGTCTTCCCCTCTTTGGCTGAACCTCCACCTTTCCCAGCTTGCTTTCCCTCTCTAAGGAATAGCCTCTCCAAGTAACATGCCCAAGATATGTGATATTAAGCTTTGTCATCTTTGCCTCCAAGGAATATTCTAGCTGCACCTTCTCCAATACATACCCATTTGTTCTTTTGGCAGTCCATGGACTATACAATACTCTCAAAGGCACCAGTTCTTCTTTTGTCATCGTTATTCATAGTCCAGCTTTCAGCAGCATAACAAGTGATTGAGAAGGCCATGGCTTGAATCAGTTGTGCATTAATCTTCAAACTGATATAATTTCTCCTCAATAATTTGGAGAAGTCCCTGCTTGCAGATTTTCTCAGTGCAATATATCTCCTGATTGCTGTACTAAGGGTGTTGATTGCAGATCCAAGTAGGATGAAGTTATTGACAGTTTCAATCTTTGTCTATCAAGGTGTTGCCTCTCCATCCAGTGGTCAGACTTTTAGTTTCCTTGACACTGAGGTACAATCCACATTGAAGGATATATTCTTTGATCTTCTGCAGCAAGTACTTCAGGTTCTCCTCACTTTGAGAAAACAAGGTTGTGTCATCTTCATAACACAGGTTTTTTAATGAGTATTGTCTGATCCTCATGCTACATTCTTCTTCATAGACTCCAGCTTCTTGAATATTTTGCTCAACATACATATTGAAATGGTATTGGAGAAAGCGTATTACCTTGACACATTTTTTTGTTGTTGTTAAGTGCCATCAAGTTGTAGGTAACTCATAGTGACCCTATGAATGAAATACCTGAACACTTGTATGACTTTTCATCATTTCTCCAGGTTCCTAGGATTTCCAGAGGCAGGCTATTTTGGAAGTGGATGCCACTCCTGCTTCCAAGCTTATTTTAATCAGGGAGCTCCACCAAACACTGGCCACCATGGGTAACCATTATTGCATTTGACACATCAGTGTCACAGTGTTCAGCTTCAAAGCAACCACAGGTTACCTCTGTACAGCAAGTGGACAGACCAGAGCTGTATGACCTTGAAGAATGTTGGATCAAAAACAATTAAAACAAGGCCTGAGTGTTGTGGATTAAAGCCACCCATCTTTGGCTTGGTAGCATCACTTTCTATACACTAGGCCAACTGGTCTCTCTCTATGCTGTTGTTGTTGTTAAGCGCCGTCAAGTTGTAGGAGACTCATAGCGACCCTATGAATGAAAGACCTGCTCATTCTGTGTTTCAAATCTATTGTTAAGATATTTTTTAGTATAATTTTATTTTGTGATTTTAATCAACATTTACAGAGAAGTTATATTTTCATTCATTGATAGTTGTTCATTTTACCCCCCATACCCTCCCTTCCCCCAGTTCACTTTTTAAAAAATATTCATTCATTGTTGCACAATAACCTCCCCGCCCCCCAGCCCTCTCTGAAATGTTATTCCTGGGCTGTGGTCATACATCTAATGCCTAATCATATATTCTTTTTTTTTCTGTTCCAATGGTCATTATCTGTCCACTCTGATCCTATTCCCCTCCCAATCTCCCAAGTCAGACCTGCTTTGTAACAGTCGTGTTGGGACAGAAATATTTCACTCCTTATGATGTGCTCCAGTGTCCTGCATGTTATGTTGTATAAGTTTGTTGTTTTTCAGTGCTTCATAGTATTCCATTGTATTAATACACTATAGTTTTTCTGTCCATTTATTTGTTGATGGGCACTTGGGTTGCTTCCATAAACTCAAGATCATTATTTGATTCGCATGGACTTATTTTTATTTTCTTCAGCCTAAATTTGTCCTTGTACCTGAGTAATTGATGGTCTGTTCCACAGTCTGCAACTGGCTTGGTTTTGATTGCTGATATTGAGCCTCTCCAACAATTCCTCCAACAGATGTAGTCAGTCTGATTCTTGTGCAGTTCATAACATGGGTTAATTTCAGAAATTATTTTGAGCTTTAAAATAATTAGTGTAATTGGTAGCATAAGTGTTGACCTTTTTTTTTACATTTCTGAATGATCACTTTGTACTTTATTGGTGTTGTATATTTCATCACTTAATATATTATCTCCTGCCAGGGGCATTGATGCACTTTTGGAGTTAAAACCATTAATAGAAGAAATCCTCCAAGGAGAACATCTGATTTTACCTTTTCAAGGAGTTGACACTTTCAGAAATCAGATTGGATTTGTAAAGCTGGCAGAAGGAGATCACTTAAAGCCTCTTCTGGAGATAGCAGGTAAAATTAACAGCTGCACGGTCTTACCCAATAAAGTGAAACTTGTAATATTAATTTGAATGCTAGCTAATTTTGGAGGGTTGTTGTAATCTCATGTATTCTCCTAACTGAGCTTCTTTGATGTTTGTTGTTATAAGTAAAAGAGCTGAGTAAAGGGCCAGAAGAAAAGTTACCTCAATTCTTGGATGTTAGTTCTGGGACTGTCTGGAAGGTAATGGAGTGACCTTAGGCATGCATTTAAACTGTCCCAGTCATAAGTCTAAATGACACTAGTGCTTATTCTGGCACTCAGCATATAATTGACACTTAATAAGTATTGCATGAATAAGTCTTACCGGTAGGTTATTTGGATTATAAAAAACTGTTATACTCATTACAGAGGGTCAGTGGATCATCTTATTTTCTACTGAGATTATTGGTGGATCACTCAAATCCATCCTAGCTATATTTTTACAAATTAATTTTCTGTATGTTTATTTATTCTGTGTCATATTGGACTTAAGATTTTATACTTTGGTTAAAAGGATTAATTCTTTTAACATACAGTTAGCCAGTGACAAGTAGGTGTTTGGGATAGAAAACTGAAAATAAAAAAACCCTAATAAAATCTTCTTACCCTCTTAAGGAGCTTATAGTTTTGTGGAAGAATAAATCAGCAATTATAATACAACATTATTATTTCTACCACTGTGAGCAGGCACAGCCTATCCGAGCACATGGCAGAGGAAGGGTTGTTGTTGTTATGTGCCATCGACTCGTTTGCGACTCATAGCGACCCTCCATACAAGAGCCCTAAACGCCATTCTATCCTGTGCCAACCTCACCGTCTCAAACACATTCATTCCCACCACTCCACTCACAGAATTGATCCATCTCATCGAGGGTCTTCCTCTCCTATGCCATCCCTACACTCTCCCAAACATGATGTCCCTCTCAAAGGACCAGTCCTTCCTTGCAACATGCCCAGAGTATGTCAGACGAAGCTTCAGAATCCTTGACTCCAGGGAACATTCTGGCTTCACCCTCTCCAGGACAAACCTGTTTGTTCTCCTAGCAGTCCATGGTATATTCAACACTCTTCTCCAGCACCACAGCTCAAAGGCATCAATTCTCTTTCTGTCATCAGTAGTCACTGTCCATCTCTCCGATGCATAGCATGTAATTGCAAAGACTATAGCCTGGATCAGGCGCACCTTAGTCTCCAGCCTGATGTCGTTGCTCTTCAGTACTCTTGAGAGGTCCCTCACAGCTGACTTTCCCAATGCAATTTGTCTCTTGATTTCCTGGCTGCTATTACCAAGAGTGTTGACTGTGGAGCCAAGCAAACTAAAACTCTTAACTATCTCAATCTCTTCACCATCCATACTGATGCTGCCAGTTGGCTCAGTGGTGAGAATCTTTGTTTTCTTGATAATGAGCTTCAATCCATACTGAAGACTGCAGTCCTTGACTTTCTGCAGCAAGCGCTTCAGGTCTCCTCAGTTTGAGCGAGCAGGGTTGTATCATCTGCATAATGCAGGGAGGGTGGACTGGGAAAAGTTTCATAGAGGAAGAAGCAGTATTAGAGCAGAGATTTAAAGGATTCCTATAGTTTCTTTTGGTAGACAAGTTGGAGAAGGATATTTCGTGTAGAAAAAACACTATGTGCAAATGAATCAAAGCAGGATGTATAGAAGTAGCTTATTTTTACTAGACTATGAATGGAAGATTTGGGATGGCTCCCTAGTTGAGCACTTAGCTATTAACTGATAGGCTTTTAACTGAAATGTTTCAAATCCACCAGCCACTCTGCAGGAGAGGATATTGTAGTTTGTTTACCACATATACTTGTTTGTTTTGTACATTTTTGCAACTGTGGAAGCCTCTTGCACATTAGTTTCTTATGCACTGTTTAGGTTATATACAGCATGAATTAGTTAACAGAAACAAAAAAAAATATAGGAGGTAATTTATCAAAATATATGCAGACTTATGGAGAAGATATTTTGAATATTATATTTTTTCAGTTATGTTCATTATAATATCTTTCTCCATTTCTTTTATGTTTGTTGGAATCATAGCTCAAGGAGAAATATATCTTTAAAATAAATCAGATATTCAAACCACCTAGACAGATGTTTTACATTTTGGTTTTATAATTCTAGTGAGCTTTTTAAAAAAATTTCAATGATAATTTTAAAAGAAACTACTTGATGGAAATTACCAGTGTTTAAGTCTTTATTTCTAAATTATTATTTCTCATGGTATGTTATGTTAAATAATGTAAGCCATTTGGAAATGCCTTGTATTTAAATTTTCATGACTATTAACCCTTAAGAGAGTAGGCCTTAGAAGGGTTAATTTATCTTGTGGTTTTGGGTTAGAATTGATTTTCTGAAAACCTCGAACCTAGCATGTGAGTTGGCCTCAAATTAATGTCATTCTTTTGTGTACTTACCTCATTCCCAGCTTTATGTTTAGTTTTTCTTTGTCTAATTTTTTTTTTTACTTTTAAATGTATTTCTCTTGTTAAAGTGCGTTTTTTTAGAATCACCTTAATCCTGCTCTTGGGAAAAAGAAGAGCAAAATAGGTACAAGCAAACAAACATGTAAGCATGAACAATGTCTTCAAGTAAAGCAAGGTTTAAAATCAAGGAGAAGGCAATGTTAACAGCTTTATTGGCAAATCATTTGGAAACTGATGCCCTTAGATGCAGCCTGTTCTTCTTGTCCATTCTAGAGAAAAGGCTGGGCTTCACTCTTTTCTTTTGTAATATAAATATTTCTGAGCTCAAGAAACATTTCTACATAGTAAATCATTTATTCATTGTTCTTTTAAGAAGCTCAGTGGCTGCCTGCAACATTGGGAATTCCATCCATTCTTTGCAAATATCCCCACAAGGCAGTTTCCAATATTGATGAAAGATCCATTGTGTGTTTTGGAATGTGGAATCTCCCCAGCTTTAATATGAGTATGAACCCTAGCGTGCTGCTTTGTCATTTTAGTAAGAGCCACACCCCTGTAATTCCTTTCTTGATACCCAATGTATTAGTTGCTGTTGCTTAAAAATATATATTTATATGCTTTTCCAAATATTGGAAAAAACAATAAAATATAAATGGAGACAGTCCCCTTGTGTAATTACTATTTGTTGTGTTCTTGCTTATAATGTTTTATGGGCTATGGTACCATGGACTTCTATTAACATTTTTATGCAGTGTGTAATAAAGGGAAATATTGAATATTTATATGGAAAACTTCAGTAAGTTAAATACCATATACTTATTAATTATTAGGGGTTACTATGTGTTAGGTGTTTTAAGTATCTTCATTTATTTGGTGTTCAGACACTTAAAATTATTCAGGACTTGGACTTTTTATGAATATTTCATATCTTTGAGCACACAGACATTTATTTTCAAAAGAATGCCACAGAATGAATGGGTGTTTTATCCCATCATTATCCAGAAAAAGGATTTATTATTTGTTTTATGATATTTTATATTATTAATCTAAATTATATATTCTAACTTTATAAATAATATTCCATAGATACAATACCCCATTTCTTAATACTTTTCAGTATTTTTCAGTTCATGGCTGTACCTATATAGGAATATTGAAATCTGACATCTTTGACATACTGGGGGCAGATTAGTATGAGTCAGTAGGAAAACATGAGACTTTGAAAGGAAATAGGTATAATGTTTTATAAAGTATTTGTAAAGAAGTTTCATTGCAGTGCAGGTAATTGAAAAATAATTGGAAAATGACAGTTCATGAATAGTCTTGATTTTCCAGGGATTTTTTTCCCCCTATGGAGTTTTCAATTTCTAAGTTACAAGAAACAAATTCCTAGACTATTACATAGTTTTCATGAAAAGAGCACTGCATTTTAGATACTCAGTGCCAAACATTGTTAGGATAAAGAACAATTTAGACTTGTTTGCTGTCTAAAAATGAAAATCATTGTAGGTTTTGAGGTGACAGAGTCTGAACTGGAAAACTTTTGCCAATAGTATCTAAATTCTATATTCAGATATACTGCTATAGATTGTTACTTTTTTCATAAGTGCTGAAGAGACTGAAAAGAACAAAACAATCTTCCCGTCCTGTGTACATGTGGGTTTATAGCAAGAGGTTCTTGATGGGCAGATAAAGCTCTGTGTTTCAGCTTCCTACCTTAACACTGAGTGATCCCATTTTTTCCCAGAACAAATCCGCCTCTTCTCATTTCCTGGCATTATACAATAGCTCACAGAGCTGAGGAACTATTGAAATTATGCATTTACATGGCATTTCCCCACATTTTTACAATGGTGAAGTGGCACTTAAAAATTCTTTATATAGAAATGATATGTGATTTCTTTCATTTTTCCAGCTAAGTGTAATTTTGTTAAGAAGATATTAGATTGAGAGATTTCGAAAATTTAGCCTTCTACAATTATAATAGTCTCTGCAAATCCCTTTTTAAAATGAGGAAAGTGCCCTTTTTTTAGCATGATGAAAAATTTCAAGAACATTTTTTCTCCTCAGAGAGAAATGGTAAGTTTGGAGGATGTCCATTTGAGCATCACATTGCCTTTTGTGTTCTCCCTACCTTTACCTAGTGGTGAAGAGTTGCACGGCCAACCTGAATGTGAGTGATTCGAATCCACCAGCTGCTTCATGAGAGAAAGATGGGCAGTACTCTTCCATGTGATTTATATCCCCTTAAAATCTGCTGGGGGTTCAGTTATGAGTCTTCTGACTAATTGCCACACAACAACCACCACCTCTACCCAAAAGGAGAGAACCTGTGCTTTGCTTTCTGTTTTTTGTGTAGAATCTGTTTAGTGCTGATATATTTAGACCCCTCTGTTGTTGTTGTTGTTTTGTACCATCAAGTCAGAACTGATTGATAGCTGACCCTTCAGTGGGTTTTACACAGGAGGAGCATGCCCATCCTTCTCCCACAGAACCACATACATGCCTTTGGGATTCTCTTCACTAAGCCACCAGAGCTCCTTTGGGCTCCTCT